ATCTTGAAAAAACTATGAATTTAACTCTGGGTTTCCTGTACCATATTGGAACCATGAATGTGGAATTTCAGAACTTTTTGTAATTTCTGTAGTGGGAATTCTATGGAGGATTCATCTTTTTGTTACATATGCTACATGTATACACGACTTTCAAAAATGGCACCAGTTCACGTCTGCCTATATTGGGGACTAGTGACGAATCATGAAACCGAGACCTCAAAGGCCTTCCATCAAGAAATCACTACGGAGATCGTATGTAGGCAGTGTCCAAAAGTTTGAAAGTTGTATTGGTGTGTTATTTATAACAAAACAGTCTTGCAAGACAACATGGAAGTTTACTATACGGGGGCTGGCCTCTGAGACTTCATTTTAGTGCTTCGTCCCCAGTGCCCTGGTTGACGACCATGACATATTGCGCCATTTTTGAAAGTCGTGAATATTGAAATGTTAACTTTTTTCCAAAATTTTGTCCATTCCTACCACTAATAATAATCTTACCAAATTCCTTAACATCCCTTGCGATTTCCATAAAATCATCATAACTGATGTCATCATTATCTTTTTCATTGGAAACCTGTGAACAAAAACAAACATTTGCAATTTATAAAAATGTAATTTATAAACGTTTTGTGGGAAATATATGATGACACCAAGCGACAAACTTGATGCCACCTATTAAATTTGGTGTGATTTAGGACAATTTTTGAAGTATTACATATATATATTATACAGAACATCAGCATGGAAACAATGTGCTCCCTTTGCAGTGCAAAACACAAAGCAATGACTACGCCAACTTGACCATGAAGAGTTGCCCTATGCCATACTGATGGTCAGTATTTATTAAGAGCCACTTCGCGCAAAAATCAGACATATCTTGGCAAGGCTCGAAAAATCAAATCTATTCATATTTTGTATATTGATAAGGTATGATTAGGTAACAACCGCTGTGTAATTGGTTTTTGAAAATATTTCATTTTTCGCAAGAAAATCGCTAATTAATGTCACATACTGGGCCTTTGCGTGACAGATACCTGATTGCTAAAAATAGCTCTCAAAATAGACAAACTTTATACCGAGTTCATGTAAAAACTAAAATAGTTATTATAAAAATTTAAATTGTAGCTTTCTTACTAACTCTTTGATATTTATTTCAATGATTTTCAGACCATTCAATTTAAAGGAAAATTTTCTGGAACTCGAAATATTCGCATATGTATTTTTATATGCAAATTAGTACCTTTACAAAACGATCACTTTTTAAACGTGCAAGTRTTTTGTTTGCAATAAAATTCGGAGTGATTACTAAACAAAAGATGAGCTTTTCAAATATATAAAAATTAGTCTGGGCAAATCACTCTCAGTTGCATAGAAATGAATACTTCTGGCGATAATAATCCGTTGAAACACCAAATGTTTTAAACAACCGAARTTCATTTACATTGCCTAAAATGTTCAAAGAATATAAGCTGAACCCTTTTTATTTCAATAACATACTTTTAATGTTGATCAGATGTTTATATGCTTTGAAAATTGTTGGGTTAATACAACTGACAAAATGTGTGTTTACGCTGATAATTGTGACTGGAATAAGTCATTCCTACTCACCTGAGAGTGAGGTGCCCAGACKAATTTTTATTTCTTTGTAAAGCTCATGCCTTGCTTAGTTATTACGCCGAATTTCATTGCAAGCAAAATACTTGCACATAGAAAAAATAATMTTTTTCTCTAGGCACTAATTTGCATATACAACTACATATGTAAACACTTCGAGTTCCAGAAAATTTTCTTTTTAATTAAATGCTCTGAAAATCAACGAAATAAATAAGAAAGAGTTACTTAGAAAGCCACAATTTAAAAATTTTTGAAATTACTATTTTACATTTCACACAAGCTCGGTAGCAAGTTTGGCTATTTCGAGTGCTATTTTTAGCCATCAAACATTTGTCACGCAAAGGCCCAGTATGTGACATTGTTTAGCGATTTTCTTGCGAAAAAATGAAATATTTTCAAAAACCAATTACACAGCGATTGTTACCTAATCATACCTTATCAATATACAAAATATGAATAGATTTAATTTTTCGAGCCTTGCCAAGATATGTCTGATTTTTGCGCGAAGTGGCTCTTAAGCGGCATTTACATGAGCAATTTTTCCTTGACAAGTTTCTTGACAAGGAAAAATTGCCAGTGTAAATGGTCAACAAGTTTTCCACGGCAATTCTTCCTTGAAAATGTTTCTTTGCTAGTGTAAACAAAGAGCAAGTTTTCCTTGCCCGTGTGAATGGTCAACAAGTTTTCCTTGACAATTTTTCATTGCCACATTTTCCTTGTTGTCCATTTACACGAGCAAATTTCATCCTTAACAATTTTTCCTTGTGAAGGAAAAGCGAACATGTTGGCTTTGCTTTTCCTTGACAACGAAAAATTGTCAATTTTATCCCATTTACACCAACAATATTTCCTTGTCAAGGCAAAATTGCTCGTGTAAACGGCGCTTTATTTTTCTGTCTCATATCTGCTCATTTTAGACCAAACCCACCGCTCATTGAACAATAAACAGTTTATTTTCCCAAAACTATCCCCTTACCTTATCTTTCTGTCTATTTTCTTGCTTTGACTTTCCACGCTCCTCAAACTCAACGACTTTGGGGGGAGGCCTAAGTGGTCTTTGTACACCTGCAGAAATTACATATGTATTTTTATGCAACATTAACGTGTAACAAATTAAGAACATGAAGATTAGCAGAAAGCTATTTGGCATTTGAAAAAAAGATTAACTTACTATTATCTTGCTTGTTATCTTTGTGTTTTTTCTTGGGCACATCAGGTTTATCCTGAAAAAGAATTTATACATGTAAGTATTTGGGTTTTAGAAACAAGCATTCTAGTGGCTCTGAATTAAAGTCAACTCTAGCTATAACGGACACCCTAGGGACCGTAATTTAGTGTCCACAGTAATGAGAGTTACTTTCTGTCATTTCTTTGAATTTTTTGTCGGGGATTCAGTATTTTACTGTCTGCAATATCGAGGTGTCAGTTGTAGCGGGGTGTCCGTAAGGCGAGAGTTGTCTGTATTTGCAATTAGAAATTGAAGTTTGATTTCTACTCACTAATGTCATACTATCATCTTTCTCATCTAATGACTTTCTTTTCTTTAACTTGAAACTCGCTTCAGTATTTTTCTGTTAACAGTATCATTAATTGAAATATAAAGCTGAGTGGTTAGAATATTTGCAAACTTAACTGTAGTTTTGATTGACCAGAGMAAAACACCCAGCAATYATGCAATCATAATTAGCGTTAAGCACGCTGGAATTTGTGTAATGTAATTAAGATATAAAGTAAGTAAGATGCGAACACCTTTATAACTATGGTTCAAGATCACAAAACCAACATTCTATAAAAACAATAAGAAAAGCGTCCTTCAAACAATTATTTCTTAACAATAAGAAGTTATATGATACAATTACAAATACCTTTTTCTTCTTTATAACAGAGAAAGAATCTGAAATGTAAGGTGCAACATGGACATCATAAATCTTAAGCTTAATTAAGTAACTTAATATGAACACAAATGGTACAGTCCTCTTTCATCTAGAGTTTTTTTCAAACATTTTGAGTTACCTTTTTCTTTGAGCTGTTTGATAAGAGCTTTCTGAACATCTATTTCAGCTATTTTGTCTTTCATTCTGCCAAAAATCGTGATAAGTTTGCGTCTGACAAAAAATTGTGCTAAAAACACGTTTCGTCCGCCATATTGGACGTGAAATTTTACAAAAGACTGAAACTAGTCACTAGCCCCTTCTCTAGATTTTGTTGTGGGAGGGGAGGGTCAAAAACTTGTTTATCAACATGGCGGACAAGACTTTGGAAGTTGTGCTAATAACATCATTTTGCTTCTCTGTCATTGGAATAATAGCACTAGTAGCTGCGTTCTTCAAGCTAAGAATTCATTATAAGTTCCTTTATAAGGTAATAGAGTTGTTTATTGTTTTTTGTCAATAGTTCAGCTGTTTTCAAAGTTCTTGTTTTTGTCGTGTGCCCTCTGAAGATATTAAGCTTACATGTCATGTGACAATAGCGTGCAGATAATTATGATTCATGTTAGATCTGAATGATTTGATTCTTACTCTTTTACAAGCTACAAAAGAACAGATTTTTCATAAAAATGTCTCGTTCTTTAAATAAACTTGTATTTTGAGGTGTGTGATTTGACTGATGAATCAGCAGAGGGTTTTTTTTTTGGTAAGGGGGCTCCATCATAGTTTATTAACAGTACTAAGTCACACATACTTTAAGTGTAATGGCATAGAGGCTTTTATGAGCTCACCATGCAATAATTGAAAAGAAAATAGAAATCTAGGTCTCTTGATCTCAAAAGGGGCGGAGAAGGCTGCACCGCTGTAACCCTAACCTCTGGCCACCCTTTAATTAGCATCAGTCCAGAATATTGATTTTAATTTCAGCTTGACGAACATTCCACAAGACATGGAGGTGAGCTAGTAGCTGAAGTTTTAAAGGTGAGTATGATAATTCAAAAGAAATTGCAACTGACAAATTATTGTCAACTCTCCCAAATAAGCCAGGATACTTCAAATTGTTTACTGGGCTTGGTTTTTCAAAGCTCAATTTTAGTAGCTTCATGTTGAAGTAGGAGACTGGATGCTACAAATATTAATACTGCAAAAATCACCACTTCTTAAAGAACAGATCAAAATTAATCAAATCCCAAAGTTGGGCAATGTTTGGCGTTTAATATTAAGGAACTTCAAGCAGTTCAAAAATGCTAAAATTTRCAAGAAATGTATGGATTGTGTGGAAACAATGCAATATGCACAAACTACAATCAAAGAAATCCTAAAATTAATAGCCTATTTGCAAATTTTGCCTCAGTAGACACACACAAAGGAATCAAGACAAGGTGCCGTGCATAAAGCTCAGTCATTCATGAAAAAAAGATTTGACTGAGCTTTACACATGTTGTCTCATCTTGATTCTTTTTTTGTTTGACTACTGCAGGTGAAATTCGCAAATCTCGGCTGTTGTTTTAATATACTGTATTAGTATAAACATACTAATGGTCTATCACTCATACTGCGCTGTGATTGGGTAACTCTACTAATGGTAGTGATAGACCACTCGCGGGAAAATCAAAA